TGCTCACCTTGCTGCTTCCCTGATCTGGTGACCCTTGTCCCTCTTCACTGGCCACCCACTGCCCGTGTGTGCCCGCTGGAGGCCAGTGCTGCGTCTACTCACTGCTGGCTCCAGTGAGACGCTTGTTCTCCTCCTTCTGGCCGCCTTTGGAGCCACGGTTTGAAGAACCCAGACACTGATGAGCCCTGGCTGAGACTCAAGAGCCTCCTCCTTTTTCCTGACCAGCCCGAGTCCTTCCATGTCTGCAGCCCCCCCTCCTTCATGGCATCCCTTTTCATTGCCTTTCGTTTTTCTCCCTCCCCACAAAAACACCATATACTCTGTAAGGTCAAAACTTGGTCCTCTCTTTCTCCTCCGCTCTCCCTCCGCTGGATCCCCCTACAGTGCTCAAGATGTTGGCCTTGGCTCCACCCAGAGTTTGGGGAGTAGTTCCTGGTCACTGAAGGGACCAGCCCCAGATTCAGGTGAAGTCCCAATCAGGTTTCCTGACTTAGAAACCTTAATCACACCAGGAGCTTGAGGCAGGACAATTGTTTCCAGCCCTCTGAACATAACCATGGGTTCTTCTGCAAGAGTTTGCTGTTATATAGCCAGAGTGGATTGTCTCTTCAAAGGAGTCCCTCAGGGTTCACAGCATTGAGTGGACACCAAGTCCTCTGGTGTGATTTGAGCTGAGAGGGTCCACAGGATCCTGAATCCTTTAGGGCTTTGGAGCTCTGGATCTGGGCCCCTGCTCCTCCATCCTGCTCCACCACCTTCTGTTCCTCTCTCCTCTTGTTTCTCGACACCGCGTTCTCCATGGCTGCTGTGTGCCCAAGCCTTCCGTGCGCTGCTTCCTCTGCTGGGGTCAGGGCCGTGGCCCGCTGCCCAGACTCCTCACCAGGTAGACAGGCCTGCCTCCTTTAGCAGCCTTGTTTCTCTGTTGGTCTCTTTCATGGTACTATCAGACTCTAATATCAGGTTATGTTTCTCCCACTAAACTAGTAGATTTCAAGTGTTTTGTTTTAAATAGCCAAAAATACCACACCAAAAAAAAAATTTTTTTTTTTTACAGGTAGCCTATGGGTAAATGTGCATCTGTGGACATATATACACACAGATTCACTGGACACACTAACTTGTGAAATCTGGTGTGGCTTGACATTGTGAATAATAGCTAATTAAGATGTGAATAATTTGTACCCTCACCTCCAAAACCCTGCAACTGGTTCTGGGAGGCAGAAGCAGGAGGACTTGCGGCAGGTTCCAGGCCAGCCAGAGTTATACAGTAAGATCCTGTCTCAGAAGTACACACGGGGGTGAGGAAGTGAATGGGATTTCCTGAAGACTTAGCAGATGGGAGTTAGGACGCTAGCTTTCTACACACCTATAGTCTTACTGATACCATCCTTTCAGTGCAGTGTAAGCTGTATCGTTCCCAGAAAAGGAATTTAAAAGTTAGGAAAAATACTCAATATTTTACTTAAATTATTGCATTTCAGTAATTATATCTCATTTAAGGGTATATAAGATTAGCTGGGAGTTATGGCACACGCCTTTAATCCCAGTGCTTGGGAGGCAGAGGCAGGCGGATCTCTGTGAGGTCGAGGCCAGCCTGGTCTCCAGAGTGAGATCCAGGATAGGCACCAAAACTACACAGAGAAACCCTGTCTGGAAGAAGGAAAAAAAAGATACATAAGATTAATCATCCTGGGCAAGAACTTTCTAGAAACCCGGTAACAAACAAGGTACTGAAACTACTGTGACACCTTGGAGTTTGCTTCCCTCTTTGTCTCCCTGCCTCTTGGCTGTCTCCAGCCCGTCTTTCACTGGCCACCCTCCCCTAGTTTATGCATAGCTGATGAAGTGGCCCTACATACTCTGCAGTTTGAAAACCACCATGCAGGACTCTAAGTTCCTTGAGGGCAGTGACTGTGTCGTCTTCCTGTTCCCAGACCCTGGCACTGTTCCCGGCTCCATGTAACTTCTGAGTAAATGTTTTCTGAATGAATAGGCCTCAGTTAAAACAGATCAGCAGCCTCTGCGATTCCGGAAGGGCCAAGAGAGGTAAATAATTTATCACAGGCTTCCCAAGAGCTCCTGCCATCCTCTAGACACTGGGGCCATTGTGGACATGTCCTGCCTTCTCTCCCCAACCCCCGGCTTCCAGGACAGAGGGCAGAAGGTTTAATGGAGTTCAGAAATTTCCCAAGGCAAAGACATACTCATCAGGTTCTCGGGTGGGTGTTTGTCAAGAGACAAATGATTTTTTTAGAGAGCAGTGGAAGAAAAACAAGGTTCTCAAAAGAACCCTTCATTCTATTTCTTCTGTATAAACTTAGTCCTCGAGCTCACCTCCTCCTGCACCTTCCAGCACTACTGCTCTGCTGGTTTTGAACCATCTCTCAGACCCTGCCAGTCAGACTTTCTTCAAACGGTATAAATCTTCAGTGGACTATGCCCAGGCCAGAATTTTTTTCATTTGGAGGTAGAAAAAAATCCCCAAGCCCCTCAAAACCCTGTGGCTTGTTTCCTGTCCCATCATCAAAGAGGCTTGACAGGCCGAGAACAAACCTCTGGCTCACCCTGAACTCACAAGTACTGTCTCCAAGTCAGAGCAAGTGAGAAAGAAAGAGAAAAAGAATTTTCCTGACTGAGAAGCCAGACAGAGAGAGCCCAGTCCCTAGCTACACATGGCCTGTTCTGTGGCTCTCGTGGGGGGCGGAGCCGTGAATGGTGGGCTGCAGGCCAGAATGGCTCTCGGAGTTCCTCAGAGCCAGCATGGGCTCTGTTCTGACCCTTACTCTAAAGTGCCAGCATATGAAAGGACCTCCATAATTTTGATGATAGCAAGCTGACCCAGAGCCTCACAGTCACGGAGGAGCTGGAGTGCAGTATGTCTGCAGTGTCTGCTTAGGAAACACGCAGTGGGTTCTGTGCATTTATAAATGTTTTAAAGGATGTTAGCTGCAGCATGCAGCCCTGGGAAGCTCAGGCAGGAGGATCACTGCAAGTTCTAGGCCAGCCTGGGCCACATACTGAACACTGAACCTTGACTTTAAAAAAAAAAAAAAAAAAAACAGGTGTTACAGTGACACAGGTCTATGATCTCGACATTTCGGAAGGTGGAAACAGGATCAGGAGTTCAAGGTCATCCTCTGGTACACAGGAAGTTCAAGGCCAGCCCGGGCTGTATGACACCCTATCAATAATGATGATGATGATGATGATGATAATGACGACAACAAAAGGACATTAACTTAGCTAAAAATCTCACTGTAAAAGCCTATTACTCACCAGGTGGCAGTGGCGCCAGCCTTTAATCCCAGCACTCGGGAGGCAGAGCCAGGCGGATCTCTGTGAGTTCGAGGCCAGCCTGGGCTATAGAGTGAGTTCCAGGACCGGCACAAAGCTTAAGCTAGGTTGAGCATTCATTACTAATAAGAAGACTCTGTATCATGATTTGGGAGCTGGTTGATAGTCCCCCCCCCCCCCCCCAAAAAAAAGCCTGAGTTTGAGCAAACCAGTTTCCCATGTTTGTCTTTATGGCTATGTCTAGAAAACAGAGGCTGCCACTGTGTAGCATGGCAGCTCACAGTGACTGAGGACGTTAAGGAGCAGCCATCGGGGGCAGCTCATCTGCTTTCCCAGCACATGCCAGTTCTTTGTGATCCAAACACATCCCTTCGACATTTGTAGTCATGTCTCAAAATGCCATCTGGTCAACTTTGTCCATCTGAATTCTTCCCATTTTACCCTGCCCAGTGCATTATGAAGACTGAGCCTGTAGCTCAGTGGTAGAGCACTTGACTCTTGTGCTTGAGGTCCCAGGTTCAATCCCCATTACTGCCCAAAAGACAAGACAAATTAAACAACGAAGGGCACTGGCATTCTTACAGGCCCTTGCCACTTCTCCAGGGCACTCTAGTCTGTTTCTCCTCTTCATTCCGTGGGTCTTCTCCCAGGGTCTCTGTTGTCTCTGCATAAGTAGGCAGACTTCTCAGAGGCCTAATGCCCTCCTTGTGTGTCTTCTGCCCAGCCCTAGCACAGAGCTACCGGGCCATTCCTCAGCCCTGTGCTAGACATCTGGTGGCTCACTGGTTGATTTTTCCTGTCCCAGGGCTGGCCTCCTGCTTGTAGTTTTCTGACCTTCTTCCCTGAATAGCCTCTTGGCAGGACTGGCCCAGCTGTTAAACAGTGGTAGACTTGTGGAGGGAAGAGCACAACAAAGAATTGTGACTGAGAAACCTGAGGGAATAAGAGAAAGGCAAATGATGGGCAGGATTGGGAAAGAAAAAAATTGAGCTAGTTGGCGGGGTGCTTGCCTGCCTCACACTCGTGAAGATCTGCCTTCAGATCCCAGAACTCATGTTCAGGCCAGGCGTGGCAGTGCATGCCTGGGACCTCAGTGTTGTGGAAGCAGAGACAGGAGGAGCCCTGCGGCTGCTGCTCAGCCAGTCTCCCCCAGGTTCAGTGAGTACCCTATCTCAAAACATGGCGGAGAGCCGGAGGGATGGCTCAGTGGGTAAGGCTGTTGCACAAGCCTGCCATGACCATCATGGACTGAGCCTCTGACACTGTGGGCAAGCCCCCAGTTAAATGTGTTCTTTTGAGCCGGGCGGTGGTGGTGCGCGCCTTTATTCCCAGCACTCTGGAGGCAGAGCCAGGCGGATCTCTGTGAGTTCGAGGCCAGCCTGGGCTACCAAGTGAGTCCCAGGAAAGGCGCAAAGCTACACAGAGAAACCCTGTCTCGAAAAAAAAACAAAAAATAAATAAATAAATAAATGTGCTCTTTTATAAGAGTTGCCTCGATCATAGTGTCTCTTCACAGCCATGGGGCAGTGACTGAGACACAGACTTAGGCTCTGCCACAGGCTCCTGGACTCGTTTTTTTACAAATTGAAGAGTCCATCATTGTTAGTGTGATACAGCTGCCTGAACCTCGTGATAGCCCTAGCAGAAACACCGTGTTTCTCTTTCCTACACCCAGGCAACTTACTGTCTACTTTTTACTTTTGTAGGCAAAATCCATGCTTGGTGACCAGAGCTGTATACATTGATATTCTCTTCCTGCTGACTAACTGCCTGAACAGACCTGCAGAAGGCAAGCAACCAGGTATGACTCACATCCTACCTTAGAATGTCGCAGGTGAGAGTTTTGGGCAGCTCCTCAGAACACCCGCCCATAGCTAAGTGTGTGAGACTGACCAGCAGTCCATGTGGCTCCTTCCTAGAAGCGTCTCAAGGAACTCGGCCCCTGTTTGCTTGAATTTCACCTTTGAATATGGTCTATTTGTCCATCCAGAGAAGACTGAACTCTACTCAGATACCCTCTGTGTTTTGAAGACCTTGGCCTCTGCTGTTTTATAATTTTCTCTGAAAATGTCATCATTTTCGGTAATGGTTCGTCCTAGACCATCCTGTAGAGATAGCTGAGTGGCTCATTTATTGGTGGATATTTGAGTTCCTGGTCTCAATCCATCCGCTACCAGTTTGTGTAAGAGTTCCTCCCTCAGGCTCTGCCTTCATACATGTCTCTAGACCATGTGTGTGTCTGATTATAGATCCACATACAATTGTTCTATTTTAATCATGATTCATAAAGTGAATTAGAGAAGGACATCCCAAATAAAAAATAATTTGATATGTTTATATAAGAGGCCTCGGGAGTGCAGTACACGAGTTCCAGGCCACAGACTGAAACGGGTTTTCACCAATCCAACGTGGAATGCAGGATAATGAGCCTGCAGCTGCTTAAAATAAGCTTCTCCTAATTGTTTGGGCCTGTCCAAGGAGCTTCTGAGTACAAGCAGGCCAGGCCTTTCCTCTGTTGGGTTTAGCCTGTCTGATTTGTTGCCTTCAGTAAATATGTTCTGGCTGTCAGAGTCCAGCTCTGTCCATATGGATCTCTGCTCCCAAACTGAAACCAATTCAAAGCATTTTGTGGGCGGAGGCGGGGTTGAAGCTGCCTCACCCAGATTGATGTGTGTTAGCTCACAAATCCCCGGGTCCACGCAGAGATAATCAGAACACAGAATCCTCTCCACATCCAGTAGTAGAGGATCACATTGGCTTATGGGGACCACATCCTGGTTTAACCAGGCATACCTGTAATCCCAGCACTGGAGAGGTAGAGCCTGGAAGATCAGGAGTTCCAAGCCAGACTCAGCTACTGGAGTTCTAAACTATCCTGGGCTACATAAGATCCTGTCTCAAAAAAAAAAAAAAAAAAAAGATAAAGTCTCAGCTTGTAGTTCTCATCACAAGAGTTATGAATATTGCCCCTTATGTTCTTGAGAGTATCCAGGTCTGTATGATAAAATACCTGTCATTCTAGCTGTGAGGAACCTGTGTTCATCCACTTTAGTCCATTGTGAGTTAACTGGGGCCCAGAGATTATACAAAGACTGTAAACCTGATGATACCAAACAAGCGCTCCTAGATTTTTGCCTTTCTATATCTCAACCAAATTCCATATCTGTAACTGCAGATGTGTCTAAAAGGCCTGCTTGCTAACCTCTTCACCAGAGTATGGCAGAGTTGTGTGTGGGCATCATTGGTCCAGCTCTGTTCATACAGAACCCTATTCTCAAACTCAAGCTACCTTAAAGTGCATTGCGGGGGCAAAGAGCATATGAAACCGCCTCACCCAGGTGTGTGCACTGTGGTTACTCTGGTATGAAAGGGTCAGTCCTTGGATGTTGTGATGTACCTTTGCTTTCCCACCTTCTTTCTCATCCTTTGTTTATGGGCTCCATGAAAATGTCTTTGGGACTTTTTAATGACTCTGTCCTCTAAACTCTTAGCATTAATTGTAACATCTGCCCCAGTTAAGAGTAATCATACAGTAACTTCAGTAACTCAGCAGTATTTCTCTTGCATGCATTATTGCTCCTCTTAGCATCCTTTGTTTGTGGAGTAAGATATGGCGGGAACAGAGAATTCTCCTCTTTCTCTAGTGACAACCACAACTCTAAATGTATTGTACTTGCATTGCCCAGGGAGGCAGGAACTAGCCCCAAGTGACATTGGGCATTCGACTCATGAAGCTGCTCCAAACTGAGATGCTCTGTGGGTATAAAATGTATAACAGATTTCAGAGAATTCCTGCACTGGGGAGGCTAAGGCAAGAGGACTACAAATTTAAGGCCAGCCTGGGCTACATTTCACAACACTGTCTTTAAATGAGCAGGACTGGGAAATGGCTCAGAGAGTAAGGGCACTTGCTGCCAGCTCTGACAACTTGAGACCGGTCCCCAGAACCCACGTGGTGGAAGGAGAGAACCAACCTCTGAAAGTTGTCTTCTGACCTGCACACTCACCCTGGCACACTCATGCTCCCCCCCATACACAATTAATTAATTAAAATAGAGTTCAAATATTAAAACTAGAGAGTTTCTCGAACTTTTATACTGATCACATTAAAATTTTAAATGTATGAGTGACGTTCATTTCATGAGTTTTTCCACGTCTTACTCAAACTGTGAGGAGCTGGGGCACAGCCAGTGACACATCGTGTGCCTGGCGTGTGCGAGGCCCTGAGCTCAGTCCCAGCACCGCTGAACAACGCAGATTCAACTGTTCAGCCAGGTATAATGGCTCAGAGCTATAGTCCAGTATCTGGGAAGCCAACCTGGAGAATGGCGGTGGGTTGGAGCCAGCCTGGTCCACACAGCGAGTTCCAGGCCAGCCAAGGCTGAATATAGTGAGACCATGTCTCAAAAAATTTTAAAAAAAATTATTACTAACATAGGAAACGAAGAAAAGAAAGAAAAACAAAGCTGCCACTGAGTACACGTGCTTAACTTTGTCAGATGGAGGGATGGGAAAAGGGAAAAGGAGAGAACAGAAATTTTAAGTTCCACACATTGTTCATATCATCTGGACAGCACTGGTTTTGTCCAGACCTTTGGGAATTGACCTCATAAGCCACAGAATACATGATATATGTGTACATAACCTATCTATACATATATATATGTATGTATATGAATGCTATCTATATTCATAGACTGTGCCCACATAGCAATAATAGTGCATTTTCCCTCCTGTGAAGAACTAGGTCTCTAGAATTAACCAAATTTCAGGCAAAATAGTTATTAGAGTGAACAGCGCTCTCCCACTTCAAAACAGTGACCTTGCAATAGTCAAGTCTGCTCTTTGGTTCATGAATGGTTGACAGTGGCACCTGAGCACTGGGTAAATCTGCCACCAAATGAGTGGTCCCTTACTAGGCTGTATAGATCCGTCTGATTCCAAGTCACATCATCATACTAGGTTCCTCTTGTGAGCTCAGTTCTCCTGCCGGTGGTTAACGTTTAGGGAAGGAGGAGAACTGCTCACTTCCCAGCTCAGGCTGTCAGGTCACAGCTGTCTGTGACGACTTGGCTGATGGGGACAAAGGCTTTGGTGGTGGTGGGGGTTTGTTTTCACTTGTCTGTATTCGTGAGACATGCTGGCGTCAGATTTATGTTGAGCCGTGTATCCAGAGCCAGTGTGAACCAAGCCTTGGGCTAAGAAGGAAGCACCGAGGGGAGCTTGTTTCTCTCTGGGGCTGGGCAGGTCACGGTCAGATTTGGACAATAGCAGGGGTTCAGGAGATGAACAAAGGGTGGGTAGTGCCAACAGAGAAGGGGTCTGCACCATCTTCAAAGAATTGGGGTATTTGAAGTTTGGGGTTCAAAGCTAAGCAAGTATTACTAAAAGTGAAGCTGGCAAGGCAGATAGGAAGTCACGGAGAGCCTTATAAGCCAAAATCCAAGGGGCCGTTTGACTGTATCAGCAAAGGAACTTATGGTGTGTGAGAAAAACAGGGTAGACGTATGTGGGTTTTAAAACAACATGGCCCTTCTTTGCACTCTTCCTGGATTCTCAGCACCTTTAAAGAACCAAGTTCTTATAAATAATGTAGCTGAAGATTCTTGGGGTAGTGCACCTTTGAAATGTTTTTCTTTTTCTTTTTTTTTTTTTTTTTTTTGTTTTTTCAAGACAGGGTTTCTCTGTGTAGCTTTGCGCCTTTCCTGGAGCTCACTTGGTAGCCCAGGCTGGCCTCGAACTCACAGAGATCCACCTGCCTCTGCCTCCCGAGTGCTGGGATTAAAGGCGTGTGCCACCACCGCCCGGCTGAAATGTTTTTCTTTATTTGTTTGTGTGTTTGTTGTGTGTGCATGTGTCTGCTGGGACTCTCGTACCACGGTACACACATGGTCAGGGGACAGCGTTCCAGCTTTGTTCTGCCTCCTGCCACATGGACCCTGGGAAGGAACTCCGGTGGTCAGGCTTGGTGGATTGCGCCTCTGCCTGCTGAGCCCTCTGGCCACCTGCATTTGCTTTTGGTTGAGGCAGGACCTCACTATGTAGTCCTGGCAAACCTAGAACTCGCTCTGTTGAGCAGGCTCCACTTTGAGTCACAGAGATCTGCCTGCCTCTGCCTCCCAAGTGCTGGGATTACCAATACGCCCAACAAGTCCAGTGGTACTGAAAATTCGTTCACCAACTCTCAGGGATGGTTTGCTTGGTCATCATGATAACCAATATTGGGGGTGTGGGAGATGGAGAGTGGGGACCAGGCCAGAATGAAAGGCAGCAGTGCTCAAAGGATGCTTAGGATGGCGGAGTTAGAGGACACGTCTTCCTCTTATTTCCACTTACTGATTTTACACAACTCAATTTCATTCCTCTGTACATACATACATTTTCACTACAATTTTGTGTGTGCTGCCTGTGCTCACATTCACACACAACTTGGTGAAGTTGTTCTCTTCTGTCATGTGGGTTCTGGAGACTGAACTCAAGTCATCAGGCTTGTCAGCAAGCACCTTTGCCCACTGAACCATCCTGCCTTTCTGAATCAGTTACATAATAAGCGTATTTATAAATGGGGCTGATTACCAAAATAATAAAGCACTGTTTTGGGGGAGATTTTGGGTTGGGTTTTATATAGAGGAGGCTCTGCGCACCTGTCTCAAACTTTGTCCTGTAAATGGCACTGAGAGGCCATTCCTGTCTCTGAAATGTCCTAGAACCACAGTGAAGGGCTGGGGACACTATGAGAAAAAACCTAGAAGGAGGAGGCAGAGAGGGTCATTAGAAAAGCCTGTAATAGTGATATGTTTT